GGTCACTTGTGCCAGATTTTTACACTCTTTCATATACAGCCTTTTAAATATTTTACCAATGTCTCATAATTAGAAGAACATAACTCAGGTCGTCCTTTAAGTTTCAGTTCAGTTAGAGGCAACTGGGTTAGGTTAACATGTTTTCTTATTATTGAACATATTTGAAAAACAACTTAGAACGATACTATTTTTCAGAAGAAAACATGTTTCAAGGCACACTCGTATATATTATTTTATTTTACGAATAAATATAAACATCTGATGTGTGAAACATTTATCTTTTCATATTCTTTCCTTAAAATCAATAATATATAAACCGTTGATCTGTGATACATTTTCCGTAATCTAACATGGAGTAAATGTGGCCCTTCCACGGGAGTCACTTTGTTTATATAGACCTAAATAGAGGAAAACAATAAGCTTGAATTTGTCAATGTAATATTTTTGTGTCGCCTTAAAAAAGGTGACATATAGGGATTAATTTTGTCGTCGGTGTCGGTGTCGGCGTCGTTGTCGGCGTCGGCGTCCCCTAAAGCTTGTCCGGAGCATAACTCAGTCACTTTAAGTTGGATTGACTTCAAACTTGGTATGCATGCTTCTTTCAATAACACGAAGTGCAGTGCACAAGGACCGGTACTCTGCACTTCTTAATTTTTGAGTTATTGCCCTTTGTAAATTTTCATACTTTAATTTGGTCCGGGCCATTTCTCTTCAACAGCTATGGACTTCAAACTTCATACAATGATAGATCTCATTAAGAAGAAGTGCAGTGCACAAGAATTGGTACTCTGCACTTCCTAATTTTTTACTTATTTCCCTTTGTTAATTTTCATACTTTATTTTTGTGCGGGCCATCTCTACTAATGTATAAAAGCTATATGCATGAAACTTCATAGGATGATAGATCTCATTAAAAATAATTGCAGGGTACAAGGGCCGGTACTCTGCATTTCTTATTTTTGAGTTTTCACCCTTTATATATTTTCATTCTTTATTTTTGACCAGGCCATTTCTCATAAATTATAAAAGATATGGACTTGAAACTTCATAGAATGATAGATCTTATTGATAAGAAGTGGTGCAGTGCACAGAAACTGCTGCTCTGCACTTATTATTTTTTTAGTTATTGCCCTTTGTTAGTTTTCGTATTTCATTTTTGTCCTGGCCATTTCTCCTAACCTATATTGTTCACAAGGCCACACATCCGACTCGCGGAGTTCTAGTTAGAGCTTAGATATTTGACATGGATTACTGTCCTTTTGACCTCCACAAACCTAATATTAAACACACAGGCACGAGTAGCGGACCTAGGAAGAAAATATCATCACATTGATATAAAATTTCTGTATTCATGTAAAATATGACAAAAACCAAAAAAAAAAGTGAAATATGAGTCCCCTTAAAATATGCATATACTAAGTTAAGAGAAGGCCGGAAACTAGTCTACGGGCAAGGGTTCAATACCCGGGACGTTGTGAAAGCAATTGTCCAGATAACTAAAAAAAACTTTTATCACTATTTCACGTTTGTATTAGGCTTTCAAATGAGACCAACCCCAAGTTTCTAGCCCAAGTTTCTAGCCCTTCCCGTTCATAAAATATTATTCAGCAAACGTGCTAAAATTGCCAGGTAGACAAAAAAGTGGCACAACGATTCGGTACGTAAACATAACTAATACATGTTTGTCAGTCGAGTAAATGGGACCATTCACAACCGTCAGTAGCATCTGATACACGCGAAATTCGAGTTAGTTTCAAACCTCTACTAGGTTTCTACAATGTCAAGAGCTTCTGTGTTTGACATGTAACACAACTAATTTGACCTCTTCAAACGTCTAATAAGTCATGACTCTGCATGCAGCATCATTTTGAAGTTTTCTACAAATGTCATATTAACCTCGAGCATGAGGTCAAACTTAAAGCTGCCCTAGTGGCCACATTCTATAAAAATCATTTCTAATCTCGTGTGTGGTCAACTACATATATTTGGCATATAGCGTTGCCCTGTCGACCATTACTAATTGTTTACAAATCATGCACTCGGGTCATAGTTGCTCGTGGGTATATAAGGACAATGAACATACAAGTACAAATGTTGCTGCAATGCAGCAATTGAGAAGCTCCGCGCAAAAAATGCGCTCATTACAGATACCTTACCAAATTATTCCTACGCACAGGTCATAATCAGATTAAGTACTATTGTAGATTTTTTGTAAACCATTTTTTGCATAATTATACTTATCTTATGCACTGTCCATAACTAAAAAGAGGGGAAAGATATTTAATATAAAAAATGCTTTGAAATTCACTGATGCCTACCTGGTAAGGAAAGTAATTCCATTGAATACAAACAAGACTTACAAGACTTGTAAATTTTATGTGACATGACTGTACTATGTTCTGTTTGTGTCACTTCTGTAGTCAGTAACATAAGATGATAAAATATCAAAGTCTGTTGTTTTTCATTATTATAATTGTAACAAATATGCAAATAGTAACAAAAGGGACTTATATTATATTATAATATACTAATATTACATGCATTTTTTCATGTCAAATTAAAAAAATGGTTTCTTTCAATACTGAAAGTAGAACACACTCTGGAATGAAAAAAATGGGATGGATTTCAAAAAGACCAAATTCAAGAATTTTTTGTTTGTTATACACGCGTTACATGGTGATACAGTGTTTATTAATATAATAGAAGACTGTTACCTGAATTTTAGGCAGGTAGGGGAAATTCACTAACATCATGTTCGTGCGAGTCAAAGATATAGAAGCTATTTGACATTGGTGATATATATAAAAAATCTTTTGTTAATTGATTTTTTTGGAGATAAATATACTTTAATTGTTTAATTGCTTTAAAAACCATTCATAAAAAATTACACTTCATGTTTCAAAATGCAGATAAATCCATGATGCTATCTATCTATACGCCTTTTGCTTAATGAGGGTCCATTACCCTCGTAAGGCCACAATACAGGTTTCGCTGTCGAGTACGACCCCGGACATGTCACCAGTCGCAGGATGAGTATTTTTTACGGACAGGTCGCGTCACGACAAAATGCCTCAAACAAAATTAAATACTTTATCGATTTCGAAAGAAAATATTAAAAAGCTCACCAAAAGTGTTGAGAAACCCATAAGTTTATGATGCACCAATGACAGATTAAAAAACAACATCTGGTCTTCGTTGCTAAAGAGATGTTATTCAAAAAACCTAACTGGTATTCAATTTTTTTCCTTTTACCTAATTCTTTGATGTTACAACGGTTTTGGTATTTGAATGAAATTATATCACATTCTACAAATAATTAATCTTCTGTTCGCTATACTGTAATTAAAAGTATGTAGAAAGTAACGTTCATCTGGAATAAGACTCAAGGACATATCCCGGTCACGGATCACGGGTCTCGTACCATTGGAATAGCGGACTATTGAGTTATGTTTGAAGCACAAGGTGGTGTGCTGTATCACTTGACGCCAATGAAATGTAAACCTTATATACTAAAGTTTAATTATTTCAAAACAACCAATATAATCAACATATTATTATTAAAACATTTTATTTCATAAATATAAATTAAGAATAATTATCAAAAGCAAAATTATTAAAGTTTTATACATGAAATCTTCTTTATATTGACAAATTCAATCCATTAAGTATAACGTGATATGCTGTGTGTAAATTAATTCAAAATGTAACAAATTATAATATCATGTACTACTAAAAAGGGAAATAACAAATGTATAACCTAAGTGTCAAAAATCAGAAACATTTATAGCTATTTATAGGCTTTCGAATACATGTACAGCAGAACTGCTTACCTGTTCTGATTCATTAATATTGACACATGTTGCGAATCACCGAAGGGGAAACCAATATAGAAATCGAAAGGAGTTCTTGAATGCGGATTTAGTTTTAGCTGTAAATCGAAGGGATTAAATGATCAAATCCGGGCCCATGGACAAAAAAAATAGTAAACACAAATAGCTCCGCGCCTGTGGGCGCGGAGCAATAACATTATTTTCAGTTGAGTTTCGTATCTTCTTTAATTGAAATATAATTTTTTGCTAATTTATATAAAAATTTTATTCGGGCATATATTGTATAAATGATGCTCTTCTATGACAATGGAGTATTTTCCGTTTAAAAATGCGAATGATAAAATATTAAAATGTCTTATAATGCCCCGGGCATATAATAATTTAACCTAAACCGGCAAGTTGTTTTTATCTTCAACTTTACAAGTAACTACCAATGATTTCACAATATTAACATTTAAAATAAAAAGCCCCTTTTTTGCAAGAAAAAAACTAGGTTTTCCTTTTTGCTTTCCCCTTGAAAAGGACATATGGGGGTTTCTTTTTTCGGGTGTGGGTCGGCGGCGGCAGGGGGCCCCCTTAGGTTGTCTTACCTGCTATCACTTTTAGTTTTTTGACTCCAAACTTTTTATGCATGCTTCTTTCGATGATCTGATGTGCTCAACGTAACAAAGACAATTGGAAAATATTGTTAATAAACTTAATTAGAATGGTTGAATATTGTTTTTGCTTGTGTTGAGTTCCCACAGCTGCTACTATAATATGACCTGCTTGTGTTTTAGTTTAAAATAAATATTGGTCATGCCATTTTAAGGTTTGTGGGTTGTTATTTTTTTCGTTTAAAAACAAATATTGATATATTTTCCAGTATTTTACAACAAGCTCTTTTTAACATTTCATTTTATTTATAAGATAGTTTTTCACGCGTTCAGACTAATTCTAAAAATAGGATACTGGTATGCCAATTTTATCAGATATCAAATCTATTCGGTGATATGATGGCAACAGACAAAACTTTGCCTTATTTAAAACGATATTGATTTTAATCAAAGATTTCCTAGCTTATACTTTTGATATTTCTACTTACATGTAGGTACTCATCTTAATGAAAATAGTTGAAAATTTAATCTATTGTATCATATTTTATGATGAAATTAATCCTACCATTTCCAGTTATCAACGAATGCTCAAACGATCCATGCAAGAATGGTGGTACCTGTAAAGATCTAGTTAATGCATATGAATGTGAATGTGTTGCTGGATACGAAGGCAAAAACTGCGATAATGGTAAGAGTACAATGAAAGCAAATGATAAACGATTTTTAATAGGGAAAACCCTTTTGACAAAATGGCAAAATTCAACGAATGAAAAAAGCAGATTTTACTTTTAAATATTTACCATTTTTGTCTATTAGTGTCGTTACTTTAGAGGGGTTATATATTGTTCAGTACTGATATGTGCATTTTAATCGATTTCAGGTGAGATAAAAAGATGGCATACATTTTATTTTAAATATTTCTTGGGATTTTTATTCTCGTTCACGCGACTAATCATAGTTTGCTACTTGGCAATGGCAACGAGATATCATCTCGATTAATGGAGATGAATAAGAAGGTCACATTTCGGCCCTGTGCCAACGTAAATGTGTCCTAATATAAATGAATGTAACCGTGATAGCTAACCATGCATTTACATTATCAATTTTCATTTTTATAAATTTTTGTTTGAACCTATATCTTAAATTGAATTACCAAAAGTGAAAGTGTTCATTAATAAGCATCACAAGATTTAATAAACGTAAGAATTAATTGCGTATGTATGTTATAGGAAGGCTTATGAAGTATCTAGTCCGTATAATATACCCCATCATGTTTCATTCAGCATGATTATTGATAGAAATTAATGTATTCTTTCATATTATCTCTTAACCATTTGTGTTTATATGTAGATATAGATGAATGTTCCTCTGACCCATGCAAGAACGGTGGCACCTGTAAGAATCTTGTCAATGGATATGAATGTACATGTATTGCCGGATATGACGGAACAACATGTGATAATAGTAAGAAATACTTTCAGTTATTTTAAGAAACTAAAATATATACTGAATTTCAATTGATCATTTGCAGTTTTGCGGAAATCTATGATTACTTGTAATATTATTATTAAAGATGATTAAAGACGTTTGTGCGCCTTTGATTAATATTTGCATACGCCGTTTATATCTTAAAGAAGTGTTTGTTCATTAATTTGTAAATAGATTTAAAATGTTTTCTAAGTGACATTCAGCCCATCTAAGGGTGTATACTGAGTGAACTGGTGAAGATAAAATAACTTTTCATTTTGCCATATTTCCTCTTAATTCTATAATTTACTTCGCATGAACGATAAATAACTTACGTATGTAATACGATTTGTCTTAAAATGGTCTTGTACGACTTAAAGAAGTTTTTATTGCAGTCTCTTTTATAATAGTTATATACGATATACAAATAAAATAAAGTTCCATTATGATGTATTATTAAGTAGCAATAAACTTATAAAACATAATAACTGTAAGAAAAAAGTAAAGTTAATTGAATGACAGAAGCTTTTGTCTTAACTTAAATTAAGTTAAAAACTTTAACGTTTCTTTTGCATTTTAAGATAAAAATGACTGTGAAAACAGCCCTTGTCAAAATGGCGGAAGTTGTACAGATTTAGTAAATAGTTATAAATGTACTTGCGTGAATGGATATGAAGGAACCAATTGCCAAACAGGTAAAACATCCTATAAGATAAATCAGTTACATTGGAAACATGTTATTGTGTTGGGTTCCTACAGTTGCTACTGTAATATGACCTGCTTGTGTTTTAGTTAAAAAGAAATATTGGTCATGCCATTTTAAGGTTTCTGGATTTTTGTTTCGTTTCAATACAAATATTGATAATTTTCAAGTATTTAACAACAAGCTCTTTTTAACATTTCAACTTTTTTGATAAGTTAATTTTTCACGCGTCCAGACTAATTCAAAGAAAGGATGCTGGTTTGCCAATTTTATCAGATATCAAATCTATTCGGTTATAATATGGCAACAGACAAAACTTTGCCTTATCTAAAACGATATTGATTTTAATCAAATATTTCCTAGCTTTTAATTTTGATATTACTACTTACATGTAGGTACTAAACTTGAAAATAGTTGAAAATTTAATCTATTGTATCATATTTTATGATGAAATTAATCCTACCATTTCCAGATATCAACGAATGCTCAACCGATCCATGCAAGAATGGTGGTATCTGTAAGGATCTAGTTAATGCATATGAATGTGAATGTGTTGCTGGATACGACGGCAAAAACTGCGATAATGGTAAGAATATAGTATGAGTAAATGATGAGCATTGTTATACATGAATTACAATTACGTAAATACTTTAGGGTTATGACATACAAATAATTTAATATATTGCATCATATGATGAATCTTACCCTGTCATTTCCAGATATCAACGAATGCTCAACCGATCCATGCAAGAATGGTGGTACCTGTAAAGATCTAGTTAATGCATATGAATGTGAATGTGTTGCTGGATACGACGGCAAAAACTGCGATAATGGTAAGAATATAGTATGAGTAAATGATGAGCATTGTTATACATTAATTACAATTACGTAAATACTTTATGATTATAACATACAAATTATTTAATATATTGCATCATATGATGAATCTTACCCTGTCATTTCCAGATATAAACGAATGCTCAACCGATCCATGCAAGAATGGTGGTACCTGTAAGGATCTAGTTAATGCATATGAATGTGAATGTGTTGCTGGATACGACGGCAAAAACTGTGATAATGGTAAGAATATAGTATGAGTAAATGATGAGCATTGTTATACATTAATTACAATTACGTAAATACTTTAGGATTATAACATACAAATTATTTAATATATTGCATCATATGATGAATCTTACCCTGTCATTTCCAGATATCAACGAATGCTCAACCGATCCATGCAAGAATGGTGGTACCTGTAAAGATCTAGTTAATGCATATGAATGTGAATGTGTTGCTGGATACGACGGCAAAAACTGTGATAATGGTAAGAATATAGTATGAGTAAATGATGAGCATTGTTATACATTAATTACAATTACGTAAATACTTTAGGATTATAACATACAAATTATTTAATATATTGCATCATATGATGAATCTTACTCTGTCATTTCCAGATATCAACGAATGCTCAACCGATCCATGCAAGAATGGTGGTACCTGTAAAGATCTAGTTAATGCATATGAATGTGAATGTGTTGCTGGATACGACGGCAAAAACTGTGATAATGGTAAGAATATAGTATGAGTAAATGATGAGCATTGTTATACATTAATTACAATTACGTAAATACTTTAGGATTATAACATACAAATTATTTAATATATTGCATCATATGATGAATCTTACTCTGTCATTTCCAGATATCAACGAATGCTCAACCGATCCATGCAAGAATGGTGGTACCTGTAAAGATCTAGTTAATGCATATGAATGTGAATGTGTTGTGGATACGACGGCAAAAACTGCGATAATGGTAAGAATATAGTATGAGTAAATGATGAGCATTGTTATAGATTAATAACAATTACGTAAATACTTTATGATTATAACATACAAATAATTTAATATATTGCATCATATAATGAATCTTACCCTGTCATTTCCAGATATCAACGAATGCTCAAACGATCCATGCAAGAATGGTGGTACCTGTAAAGATCTAGTTAATGCATATGAATGTGAATGTGTTGCTGGATACGACGGCAAAAACTGCGATAATGGTAAGAATATAGTATGAGTAAATGATGAGCATTGTTATAGATTAATAACAATTACGTAAATACTTTATGATTATAACATACAAATTATTTAATATATTGCATCATATAATGAATCTTACCCTGTCATTTCCAGATATCAACGAATGCTTAACCGATCCATGCAAGAATGGTGGTACATGTAAAGATCTAGTTAATGCATATGAATGTGAATGTGTTGCTGGATACGACGGCAAAAACTGTGATAATGGTAAGAATATAGTATGAGTAAATGATGAGCATTGTTATACATTAATTACAATTACGTAAATACTTTAGGATTATAACATACAAATTATTTAATATAATTCATCATATGATGAATCTTACCCTGTCATTTCCAGATATCAACGAATGCTCAACCGATCCATGCAAGAATGGTGGTACCTGTAAAGATCTAGTAAATGCATATAAATGTGAATGTGTTGCTGGATACGACGGCAAAAACTGTGATAATGATAAGAGTACAATGAAAGCAAATGATAAACGATTTAGGGCAAATCCTTTTGACAAAATGGCAAAATTCAACGAATGAAAATAGCAGAGTTTACTTTTAAATATCTACCATTTTGCCTATTAGTGTCGTTACTTTGGAGGGGTTATATCTTGTACAGTACTGATATGTGCATTTTAATCAATTTCAGATGCAATAAAAACATGATAAACATTTTTTTTTATCTATTTCTTGGGATTTTTATTCTTGTTTACGCTACATAATCATAGTTTGCTACGTGGCAACGAGATATTATCTCGATAAATGAAGATGAATAAGAAGGTCACGTGTCGGCTCTGTGCCAACGTAAATATGTCTTAATTTAGAGGAATCTAACCATGATAGCTAACAATGCATTTTCATTATCTTTTTCATTTTTATAATTTTTAATTTGAACCTATATCTTAAAATTGAATTACCAAAAGTGAAAGTGTTCATTGATAATCATCACAAGATTTAACAAACGTAAGAATTAATTGCGTATGTATGTTATAGGAAGGCTTATGAAGTATCTAGTCCGTATAATATACCCCATCATGTTTCATTCAGCATGATTATTGATAAAAATTAATGTACCGAATTTTTACTTATTTCATATTATCTCTTAACCATTTGTGTTTATATGTAGATATAGATGAATGTTCTTCTGACCCATGCAAGAACGGTGGCACCTGTAAGAATCTTGTCAATGAATATGAATGTACATGTGTTGCCGGATATGACGGAACAACATGTGATAATAGTAAGAAATACTTTCAGTCATTTTAAGAAACTAGATTATATACTGAATTTCAATTGATCATTTGCAGTTTTGCGGAAATCGATGATTACTAGTAATATTATTATTAAAGACGATAAAAGACGTTTGTGCGCCTTTGATTAATATTTGCATACGCCGTTTATATCTTGAAGAAGTGTTTGTTCATTAATTTGTAAATAATATAATGTTTACTTAAAGTGACATTAAGCCCAACTAAGGGTGTAAAGTGAGTGAACTGGTAAACGTTAAAATAACTTTACATTTTGCCATATTTCCTTTTAATTTTATAATTTACTTCGAATGAACGATAAATAACTTACGCTCTGAAAATATCCATCGTAATTAACCTGTAACGTTCAATTTTTAAAATCAGTCGGGCAGTCTTTTTATCTTTTAGGCAGATTTGTAATTTATCTGAACATTTTGCAATAACAACTGTTGGTCAATAACCATTATGATACATATATATAGTGTCCAAAATACATTTTTACTAGAAGGTTCTACATAAATTTAAGAACAAATGTTTTCACAGATATCGACGAATGTTCAAACGACCCATGCAAAAATGGAGGTACATGTACGGATCTTGTTAATGGATATGAATGTGAATGTATGCCGGGATACGACACAGATGAGTGTCATAATGGTGAGACTTTATTTCTGATCATAATTAGAATCAGAATAAGAAGAAATATCAGTATTCGATTAATTTTACAATTAGATATCTGATCCCGTTTCATTCACTGAAGTCAAAGATCATCAGATTGTGTAATCTTCTTTTGTAGATTTATTAAACAACCTTAATGTATTTGATTATATATGAGCTGCTGGATACGACGGCAAAAACAGCGATAATGGTAAGAATATAGTATGAGTAAATGCTGAGCAAGTTTTAAGAAAAAAGAAATCGCATTACAGCAATTCACAAATCAATAATCAAAAACATCATTTCGTTTGTGCTTTCTTTGTAGTGACGAAAGTGTGTGACGAAATGTCTTGGTGTATACATAATTTATTTTAGTTCGATTATGGAGGAAGCTATTATCTTATAAACATACTTTCGAATCTGTTCACTTACATAAGCATTTTAATCAATTTCGTTCGGACGCGGTTAAAGTTTACATAATTTCATTACTTTGCTAGGAATAATATTTTTTCATTCACACAACATAATCATCTCGTGATTCGATTCGTTGAGGTAAATAAGTCGGGCTCATTTCGGCTCTATGCCACCGTACATGAGTTCAAACTAAGATTTCGGTATGAAATATACGCTGTTAAGTAACCCATGTATTTACAAAATAGGTTACAAATGCACTTTTTCTCGAAACACGTGAATTAACTCAAGCCCGTGCTTGTGCCTTGGAGGGAAATCTGATATCTTGCTCCGCCAGTAAACTGAAAAGTTGCATATGAGCCTGACATGAGGCAGAATTTTCTTCATACTTCATTCTAGAGTTAATTTTTCTAGTTTCATTACGATACGTTTTGTGTGAAAGTGTGAATACTGTTTAAGCTGGCACGGGATGCGTATGAGATTTTTAAATTACAGAAAAAAACATATCTCTCAGCAGGTTTCAAACTTTCCCTACCCTATTTCTAAAGACTGAAATATAGCGATGAAGGAAACTAGTCTTATTTTCCTTTACCGTTTTATATTGCTCCATACAAATGCACTCCTGGCCCTGGCAGGAACGGTGTTACCTGTAAGGATCGTGTAAACAAATGAGCAGCGTCACGACAAAACCAACGCAATGCCTTTGTGACCATCCGCGCAGTCTGATCAGGATCCATGCTGTTCGCTTACAAATCCTATTACAAGTAGAGAAACTGATAGTCTGGATCCATGCTGGTCGCAAACGTATTACGTTGGTTTTGTCGTGACGCGGCGAAACTACGAATGTATTAAGGAGGAAAAGATGAAAAATGCGTTATTTCAATGAGATAAATTCATATTGATCTGAAATTAAGCATTATTCATACATTACTTTTGTATGCAATTTACGATTTGAACGGATCATCCATAAAAAATGTTAAAAATAAACTATATTAATTACAGCAATGAATGAAATCACGTTAAAGTAAAACTGAATATATACGGCTTTGTCATGAAGTAATTAGTGGTTCGAAACATTGAAATCATTTTTCTGCTTATCAGGATAATGTTTAGATCAGTTTCCTGCAACGAAATAGAGATGAGTTGAGCTGATTCTAACGCCGAGTTTTATGAGAGTTTTATGAACTCTAACATCAACTCATGACGTTTCATTCTCAAATAGAAATATTTAACGCCGTAAAAAGTAATGCATTCTTCATTTTATCATTTTTCCTAATAGATATTAATGAATGTTCTTCAAACCCATGCAAGAACGGCGGTACCTGTAAGGATCTTGTAAACAAATACGAATGTACATGTGCTGCTGGATACAATGGAACAAATTGTGACAATAGTAAGATATCATTCATTTCATATGATTGATATGATTGATAGTTGATTTTTTAATATTGGATAAATACTTATAATTCAGATAATTCCTGATTTCAATCAAACAAAAAAACTAACTAA